AGTTCAGATAAGTTAATATGGGCTAACAAAAACTATCTGCCAGTGTCTCTTGTTCCATCCATCATGGTATTTCGCTATGTCTATAAGCCCAGGGGATAGCTTGTTAGTGAAAACATAAGCTGTTAGTTAATGAGGGTTGTGTAGTTGTTACCAAAACTATTTTGTGTTTTTTTTTCCACAAAAGGAAGGAGACACAGCCTTGACTACCTGGCTACAACTGAGGCCCGCTGACGTACTGTATCAGGGCTGATCATGACATAGAGCTATTGGCAACATTCGCGAATAGTGAAACTGTAAAAGCAATCATTTACTTCATGATGTTGTTCTACTGTACCTGTTCGACTTAGACTACCCATCCAGACTCGGTAGTCTGAAATGGTAAAGGCTTTTCAAGAAATTGAACAATATTGCTACGTGTGAGAACGTTTACATTTATCTGTCAGTAATTACTTTAATTAATCTATTCATGTATAGCTGGTAAATATATTATTTTAAACGTTCTTAATTGTTTTTATATTGTAGGATAACAAGTGACAACAGCAAAAAATCATGCCAAGATTGTTATTCTAGTTTCATATTGTCATTTAAGAAAAATATTCTTAAAAACCATGCACACTGGATCGAACTAGAATAATTTTCTTGGCAGGATTTCAATTCAAGATAATTTTTCTAATTTCGTCCCATGGGTAAGTAAAATTTTCTTATTAAGATTATTTTTCTTATTTCAAGAATACGTTCTAGCAAAATTTTCTTATTACTTGAAAATAATTCTTGGGAAACTAAGATTTTTTTCTAGAAATAAGAGAATTTTGCTAGAACTTTTTCTTGAAATAAGAAAAATATTCTTGATAAGAAAATTTTACTTACCCACGGGACAAAATTAGAAAAATTTTCTTACCAAGAATTTTGTTCTAACCAAGATTAATTTTCTTATTTTGAGAAAAATTTTCTTGAAGTCTGATTCTTACTTAGAATATTTTACTTACCCACGGGGCAAGTAAAATTTTCTTAAAACAAGTAATTTTGTGCTTAAAATAAGTAATATTTTCTTAAAACAAGAAATTGTTTTTTTGCAGTGAATACCTTAAGTTCATATAATTTTTTGCCGTGATCTTGCAGCCAACTAGAATTACTGAAAATTCTGCAACTTTAATTGATAATATATTTCTGAATGATTTGGAACATTATCAAGTTAGTGGAAATGTAATTCATGATATTACTGATCATTTTCCAAACTTTCTTATCTTGGATAAAACACCTTCTATACCAAAGAAATGCAAGGTCTTCAAAAGAGATTATTTAAATATGAATGAAAGAGATCTTATAGAGGAAGTACAGTCCATAACGTGGGAAAATGAACTGCCAGTTAGAAATGCTAATGAAATTTTTAATTCTTTCTACTCCTATATTTCTACTTCTTTTGATAGACATGCTCCCCTAAAAAAATTGACAAAAAGTGAATTTAAGTTTATTACAACTGCTATTCGTAAATCAATTAAGACAAAAAATGAATTATTTAAAATCTATCTAAAGCACAAATGTGAATATAACCATGGCAAATATAAGATATATAGAAATAAATTAAAACATTTAATAATTGTAAGTAAAAAGCTATATATTAATGATTATTTTAATAAGAATCTTAATAATATTAAAGAAACATGGAAAGGTATTAAGCAACTTGAAACAATAAAACCAACTAAATCGTTTGAACCTAGTAAAATAAAAGTGAATAATACATTACTAACAGACCCAAAATCTATAGCTAATGCATTTAACAACTATTTTTCTACTGTTGGTCCAAATTTGGCAGCGAACATTCCTACCATGAATACGTCATTTCATAATTTCTTGTCCAATGCACGTAATCCACAATTGAACAGTTTTTATCTGAATCCCACTAATTAAGTGGAAATTGAACAAATAATTGGTAATTTAAATCCGAATAAATTTACTGGCCCATACATTATTCCCACTAAATTAATTGTATGCTTAAAATCACTTCTCAGCGTCCCTCTGAATATTCTGTTTAATTGTTCATTTGAAATAGGAGTTGTGCCAGACAAATTAAAAGTCAGTAGGATCATTTCTACTTATAAAAATGGTTCTCATTTGGATATGTGCAATTTCAGACCAATTTCACTCCTTTCTATTTTTGATAAAATTCTTGAAAAACTTATGTATAATAGGCTAATAGAATACCTGGAGAAATTTAAAATATTAAGTGACAATCAGTTTGGATTTAGATCTTCTCATACTACTACAAAAGCTGTTATGATTATAACTGATAAAATTAAAATGGCTATTGAGGATAAATGTTATGCTTGTGGGATTTTTCTGGACCTTTCTGAAGCCTTTGATACTGTTGATCATGGCATCTTCCTTGCTAAACATGAATAGTACCGAATCAGGGGGATTGCTGGGAAATGGTTTTGTTCTTTTTTAAGTAAAAGAAAGCAATTTGTTAAAATAGGCGATGAGACCTCTAATTATCAATCAATCACATGCGGTGTTCCACAAGGTTCAGTTCTTGGACCATTGTTGTTTCTTATATACATCAATGACTTAAGTGGATCGTCAACTTTGGTTGATTTTCATCTTTTTTCGGATGATACAAATCTTTTTTTCCCATAAAAATTTACAAACAATGGAAAGTATCATAAATCATGAGCTAAGTAACATAAATACATGGCTTGGTTCAAATAAGCTATCATTAAATATTGAAAAAACTAATTTTATAGTTTTTAAACATCATCAAAGAAAGATTAACTACTCTATGAAGTTAATTATTAATAATAAATTAATAAAGCACGTTAGGAGTGTTAAATATCTAGGAGTTATGTTGGATTGCCACTTAAATTGGAAGGATCATATTTCAAGTATTTGTAAAAAGCTGTCTAGAGGTACAGGTGTTTTATGCAAAGTCCGTCACTTTGTAACAACTAAAATTCTAATCCAGTTATATTATTCTATTATATATCCTTTCCTTATATTTGGCTGTACGGTGTGGGGTATGATTTATAATACAAATATTCAGCCTATTTTTCTCCTACAGAAAAATATTATTCGTATTATGACTTTTTCTAAATTTGACGCACATACTAATCCTATATTTCATAAAATTAAAACTACTAAAAATAAATGAAATAATTAAGTTATATATTGCAATTTTTATGTATCAATATGTACAGGGTATGTTACCTAACGCTTTTGATTCTTTTTTCACAACTACTAATAGTATGCACGATTACAGTACCCGACTTGCTTTCAAATCTGCTTTTTACCTTCCAAAAATAAGAACTAATTTTGGTAAATTTAATATTAGATATTTTGGACCGAAAGTCTGGAATGGCTTTGAATTTTCCTTGAAGTCTCTTACTTTTTTTCGATTTAAGAGACAGTTAAAGGAATCTTATCTTAAATTATATGAAACGACTTGATCTGCATCGTTTTTCGTTCTTTTTTTAATTTGATTCTTGTAGTTGCATGCTATCCTTTTGTGTGTGAGTTACGTAGTGTAGTTACACCTTGTTTAAATTCCTCATCTAAATTTTATATTCAAATATTATAGGAAACCTGACTAGTTTAGCTTTAAAGTTATTTCAGGCTTCCTGTCACTATTATTCTTGTTAGTTCAAACTCTATGTATGCTGGTATTGTAACTTCTAGTGTTAATAAATTTGTTGTTGTTGTTGTTGTCGTCGTCGTTGTTGTTGTTGTCGTCGTCGTCGTTGTTGTTGTTGTTGTTGTTGTTGTTGTTGTTGTTGTTGTTGTTGTTGTTGTTGTTGTTGTTGTTGTTGTTGTTGTTGTTGTTGTTGTTGTTGTTGTTGTTGTCTATAACCCATGTACACTCCTGTAATGGATGGGTACCATTTTCTTATTTTCAAGACTACTCAAGATGGACAAACCCTCCTGCTCCCTTTTCCTAGATGCACGTGCTAAAATTAACTGTCTATATGCTGCTTTTCTAAAAGCCCTTGTACTATTGTCTTCTTGATAATTTCTGATGTCATTAGAATTGCGTACACACAGCTGTAAGACCCCATTCCTTCATTTTTATTTATTTTTCTAGCAACCTACGCTCTCCAAGCTTTTTAGTCCATTCGGTTGGAAAATTACATCAATGTCTCCTGGACTCATTGCTGAAATAGCCCCGACAGTTTCAAAACCATTTAATTCAAATACATAGGATAAGTGCTCTAAATTCAGATTTTAAAGCCATTTTTGTCTTGTACAAAGTCTTTCACAGGGCTGCATAATATAGCAGACCACAGGACCATTGGTCCCAGAAAATTTTTGAGGTTGGCAGAAAAAAATGGAGGGTAAAACTTAAAAGTTTCAAAAGAAAAATAAGTAAAGAGAAAGAAAGAAAGAAAGGAAAAACAGAAAGGAAGAAAATGAGAAAAAATGACATAATTGAATAATAAGTTGTAGGTAGTGAACTAGTGATGTTTGCAACATGCAAGTAATAAAAGTTTCCAATATACCAGTACAGGCGGCACTCTAGCAGCCTGATATTATGGTCAAAGACAGGTAGACAGCAGTCTAGCAGATATTAAGACGAAATCCTCTATGTAGTTGTTATAATTGATTTCATCTAGTGGATATTAGCTACTTCTGAAAATACCACTCCAGTTATATACGAATACAACTTTTAACAACTACAGTATGTAGATTAAAAAGTCTACAAGTGTGGTGATTTCTTACAATGTAGTAAAGAATCTAAGCAATATGTTCCAAAAGTTGGACATCCGAGGCTAGTCGAAAGAAGGTGGCGTTGGGTATTGAGAACCTTCGAAGAATGGCGAGCCGCAAGAAATCATGCCGTGTCTTCTAACAATGAAAGCTATGACGACGAACCACTGGTCAACGCAAGTTTAGAGGAAATGTCTGACGAACAGTTGGACTTTTTCCTTGCACGTTTTGTCGCAGAAGTGAGAAAAACAGATGGAGCTGAATACCCTGGGAGAACTATATATGAAATGATAAGTAGTATTCAGGCTTATTTACGTGTTGAGTGTAAGCGTAATGTAAATTTAATTGACAAAACAGCTCGTGTATTTAGAAATTTAAACTCGGCGTTAAATTTTGTAATGAAAGAAAGAGCCGGGCAGGGTATTGGGGTGGAGACATCGCAAGCTAAATTTATTACGGAAGAACAAGAAAATTATTTGTGGGAACATGGCTTTTTAGGTTGCACGAACGCAGCGTTGCTTAGAGATACTTTAGTTTTTGTGTTTGGCTTACAATTTGCTTTAAGAGCTGGGCAAGAGCACAGAAACTTGGTGTGAAAACTCGCAACTTTCCCTACAAGTTGACGAATTCGGTGATGAATTCTTGCAATATAACGAGGATATCAGCAAAACTAACAACGGTGGATTGGCCCATTTGCGTACTAAACGCAAAGTTGTTCGGGCATATAGGAATTTAAAAAATCCAGAGCGTTGTCCGGTTGAGCTCTACAAGAAATATTTATCTCGCGTTCCCACAACTACAAGCGATAATGCGTTTTATTTGTGAGCTTTGCCAAAACCAAACGGGCAGATTTGGTATTATAAAAAAGCTGCAGGTAGAGAAACGTTAGGAAATGTCGTGAAGAATATTATGAAAAATGCTGGGTTTGAGGGGTATTTTACAAATCATTCTCTGCGTCGTAGTTGTGCTACAAGACTGTACAATGCCGGATTCCCCGAACAAGCAATTCAGGAGACTACAGGCCATCGGTCATCTGATGGGATTAAAGCTTATAAATGTACCTCGTCTTCGCTTAAGCGAAAAGCTAGTGAACTATTGCAAGGTGATCGATGTACTTTTCCAGAGGGTGAAAGAGGTGTAAAATGCAAATATGGCGCTAGAGATTTGTATGAAAACTTTAATGAATCAAGTAAAATGTGTGAGAGTGTTACGTGTGAGGTTGGAACGAGTGTAGAATGTAAAACCAAGACAGATGTGAAACCGAATTTTGATAAAGTAGTGTCTAACTGTGATCAGTCGATTGTTATTAACACAGATTGCACAAAGATAGTTTCGTACAAATGACTGGTTTCAAAGTTTACTGTCTATTGTATACTGTCATTGTTGTATTTATCAATCTAGCATGTAATAACTCATGATTCTGTAAATTTGTAGTACTGATTATATTGTGTGAAAATGCTGTCTTTGTGATGTATATTTGACCCATATAAAAAGTATAATTATTTTCGGCTGGAAGACTATGTTGCTGCAACCTATCTAACGTGAGACATTTGTGAGGACATGCATGTAATGGATCGTGATAGATCGTGATTTCAATTGAATTAATTACCCTATATTAAAATCTCCATATTAAAATCTCCTTATATTATAGTGTTCTAATTATCATTAATGATAAGGTTAATTCAAAGAGCGTATTAAACTGGATAAGCACGGGAATAGAACTTATGGTGTTTCTGCACATGCGTATATCTAGGATAAAATCCCACAAGCGCAAACCAAACTATTTCTCTATAAAGTTTAGCTGAAAGGACTCACAGCGACCGTTTTTGGCAATGCTTCAGGCGCCTGATGATATTATACGAGGGGCCTTTAGCACTGTCATTTTGTCGTTTTGAGATGTTCGCGTTATCGCGTGTACTTGTCAGGATGACGAAGGTGCATCATTGAGAATAATGTCATTCTGCACTGACGCACGCTGCATTATTTTTAATTCTGTGTGCACGCTACATTCTTTTTAATAATGCTTTGTGCACGCTGCATTATTTTTAATAATGCTGTGTGCACGCTGCATTATTTTTAATAATGCTGTGTGCACGCTGCATTATTTTTAATAATGCTGTGTGCTATTTTAGCCCGTATAAACATTTACCCCTGGTAATTTCCCTACTATCAAAAAAGACCGCTCCCGTTTTTATGAAGAATCTGATCCTATTCATGGTATTCCATTGTATAGTGCAGAGTGAAAACAATAGGTTATTATGACCGTCAGTAATTATATCAAAATACAGCTTGCCTTCAAGAGAAAAACGGCCATTATTATAAGTGTCCGAATAGCAGGCCAGCTGTCCGAAATGTGGTGATGAGAATGAACTACCTGTTTTCAATATTATAGAAAAACTAAAGAACTTTAGCGATGTATCTCTTAGAGTAATGTAGCAATGGGAAGTGGTCGTCATCTGTACAAATTTGAACCGGCTAAACATCTTAAATCTCAAAATATAGTGTGAAAACACTTTACTGTCCGAAAATTGGACAATTATAACATACTGTACAGCTATAAATTGTGCATTTGAATTTCTGTTATATCTTTTTGAATTTTTGTATTTATACGATCAATATCAATTTTTAAATTCGGTCTACAAACTTTATTGGTGTTACTTAAACGTTGAAGATTGTGTTATGGTTTTCAATAAATTCCAATTTCCAAAGTTTCCAAATAATATAATAACGTTTCCAATTACTGTTGATTTTGACAATTATTGCAACTTTTGACCATCGCGACCTCAACCTCTACAAATTTCAACTGATCAAAGATCATTGCTACGGTGCTACTATTTCTGCAAAAGGTTGATTTTTGTTGCAGGGTGTGAATTTATAGTTACTCACATGCCCAAACCGCCTCCCTGTCACACCTCTGCCAGGCCCACCTGGTTGGCAAAGATGAGGCATGGAGTCATGGATACCCCAAGCACATACCCTTTGCTACACCCCTGCTTTAAAGGGCATATGACTTGAAATCTCTTTTTTTCCGTAAAGAGTTGAATTTAGGACTTTCAAATACGCTGAATACGATGCAAATAATTATTTTCGGTTCTGACAAAAATTTAACAGTGAAAATAGCTGCAGAAACATGTGTTTTAAGCAAGTCTGAGTACACCTCACAATTGGAGACTGGACACCAGTGATGACATAGAAAGTTGTTCCCATTGTGTAAACAATTGCTGTGTAAGCAAGTGTTGGCAAACTGTTATATTTGCAAAAGTGAATACTTTTAAAAAATGCCAGGTAAAGGTGGAAAATATTGTATTGCTGGGTTTAGTAATCAGCAAATCATGCCGAAATTCTAGTATGTCGAAGAGTATGTCGATGCACAAGTTCCCTTTTAAGAGATGGCGAGCTGCATGGATCAGTTTTGTTCGAAAACAGGCCAAATTGGACACTGACAGGTACTTCGACCTTATGTTCAGCCCATTTTCTAGAGACTGATTATAACCAAAGGTTTGATATTGACTTACCAGAAGTTCAAGGATGCTCTGCAGGCAGCATTAAATTTAACTCTTTCCTGACAGGCCCAATTCGCGTCGATCGCGAGCGATCGACGGCTCGAAATTTCATACTTTCGGTTCAGTGCATGCTATGAAGACAGAAATACCACCATTCGATTCAGAAATAAAATATCAACTAGTTCCAAACGATAGTTATAGTCATTATTAGTATTGTAACGATTTATGGGCCTTTGAAAGTCAAAACGATCATATTGTATCAAATTACGCAATTGTCTGAACAAAAATACAGATTATTATAGACTAGCCATACCTTTCGCCGAAAATAACTTCGGCCCCATCGAACATATCGTCTTTGTAATAGTCTTGTTCGAATCCCCATTAAATAGTGTTTTTGGAGTGTTATTTGCAACCCTGAATCTACAAATCTGTATCTTTTATCAATATATTTCCATTTCTTGTCCGACTGTGAGCTCGAAGTGAATTAATCCCAACCGGAAATACGACTGAAACCCGTCAAAACAATGCGGCGTTTGTATCGTATGACCCTGGAAAGGCCAGAAATGGATTCGCAAGGTCAAATTGCACCTACACGCGTGAGTTTGACGTCATCCCGGCCAAAGGAGCTTCTTATTGGCCAATTATTGCGCAATGTACGCAAGTGCGAGTAAAACCCGATATCTTGAAAAATTCAAAATAAATATTTCTAGTCGGCGTATACATACGAAACTTTCTACACGAAAGCGCTTGAATACAGAGAGTATTTTACACGTATAGCCGTTTAGCAAATGACGAAAAGTTCAAGGGGTATTCAAGATCTTGTGGATATGAAATCTAGAATCTTTGGCCAAGCGGTGAGTAAATATATGATTGTTTCGCTTTGTGTAATGTTTTGACGGCACTTGACCCCCCGTTCGAAAGGTTATTTTATGAGGATTTCAATGGTGGCATTTATTTAAAAGGGGGGTAAATACTCGCCGAGATATTTATATTAGAAAAATTGAATCGAAATGTAATGCGAAACCGGCCTGTCAGGAAGGAGTTAAAACGTTCTTAACTGCTGAAGCTATTCCAACAGTCGACGACTTCAAAGCTGCTTCTAAGCTGCAAAGCATTCCCAGAAAAAGAGAGTACAAATGTGCCTTCAGCACCAAATGTGCCAGAGCATTCTGCAGCTATTCGTGCTAAAAGACGCCTACTGAGAGATGTGCATTCACCCAGTCTGATACGAGAAGTGCACTTCAAAACGATGAAGTGTTTACTGGAGAAAACGATGATCCGTTTACTGGAAAAACCTCGGAAATCAGGATGCTCGATAATGTAGCTTATAGGCGATGTCAATGTTTCCTCAGATTTGAACATTTTGGCAGCATCTATTTTGTTACAATATCAAAATTCTAGAGGCCCTTGCAGCAAATTGTTGTTTATACAATGCCTGCAAGTACACCAGTCATTTGACGCCTTCAAAGCGAGTTTGAATTGTTGACAAAAGAATTCCATCTAAATCAACGTTCCGAATAATCAGCTAAAGGCTCACAAGCGCATGGCTCGTACAAATTAAAGTTGTTCTTGTGAAAAGAATCGACCAAAGAGTCGGAGTCACTTGAGGAACTCGAAGATGATGAAGACATATTTTTGAATTAAATATTGCTTTTACGGTGCCTTGACAAGATTATAAAATGAGCTTAATTAAAGCACTCCCTTTTTATTTGATATTCAATTTTATGCAACAATGTATGTATAAACCGTTAAGCCTGTTTTTTTCACACCAATGTGCAAGATGGAAACAGGGGTGGATCCAGACCTAAAACTGACTGCAGCTCCTGAAACTTGCTTAACTAAGGGGGTCTGCCCCCCAAAAAATTTGAAGCCCAGCAACACCATTTCCTGCAATCTGAGCGGCGTATTTCCTCCTCAAATTTCGGTCCTCGACATATATGGATAGTGTGAAGCATGGCCATCATTTGGTTTTGGTGGTTGTGATAATAAATATCAACAGTTTGGGCCCTGCAACGGAGGTTGCAGTTTGGGTAGGATAGTCTGATTGAATTGTAAGCCAATTACTGTTGCTAAGGTAAACATCATCGACATATGTGTTATGTGTTTTATTAATGGTCCAAATATCAGAAAATTTGCTCAATTTTAAGTCCATATAGGCATGGAAACTTTAATTTTTTGGCACCAATGCCTTTCATGCATGCTTAATTCATGCATTTACCAATTTGCATATTGTTACTTCACTTTTTTACAACATAGTTAAAGCAATCTATGTCAACTCATTAGTGTGCAAGGTCTTTCCAATGATGAGTAAAATTACCCACGAAATAGACAAAGTTATGTAGCACAGAATGTGGTATTTGGGATAATTTTTATGGTGACTACCATACTATACCACCCAGTTGCCATGCAGAAATCTCAATTCTTTAACCTATTGAGAGCTGCCTAGCACTCTCCGCTTTGCAAGTAAGGTCATCTGGTGTCAGACAGAGTAAAATAATAAAGTATGGCACTTCATTTCCATGATTGTTTAAGTGCTCATAACTGTAACGGTGCGATTGCAACTTGCTTTCAAGTAACAACATAAAACGCTCACTGAGTTTCCAGCAATATACATACCCTTTTCTAGATATATACCTAGTAATAATAAACGAATGAACGAATGTATTCCTTCCACTTGTGAGCTCATTTACCATTGTCATATATAGTAAATGTGCAGGCCTTGTGACCCTGGATGGGCACTTAAAAGGAAAGAATACACACACACAAAGGTTTATTTATTCAACCATTACAAGAGAACGATTGAACAACTGCGCATGAACGAACATT